TTTTGCATCTCTGTTTTCTAATTATTTTTGTACAGTTTTTTTTAAAATATGTATTAACATCACCATCACTAGGGGGTTTTGGAGAAATATCAGACCCCCTGACACTCACAAAAAAAAGTAAAGTCTAACACCACAAGCTTTGATGAAAAATGTATTGCAGTACACAGGTTCACGCCATGGATGCTCTTCACTCTGACATGTTTCACCCAATAATGGGCTTAGTCATAGATAGTCACTGCTATCCTGATTACTTTACTCCATTACTTTATAAGGATATTCCTGGAAGAAAAAATGGAGGAGTTCTGACTTTAGAGGCCTTGTACTTGTTCCAAGTTAATGGTTTAGAAGAAAATGAAGCCAGGCACAGCTGGGCAACTAGAATTTAGAGGTGTCAATAATGGCAGCCTTTTCATTTCTTTTACTACAGGTTTACATTAAGAACATTGCAAGAAGCAGCAATATTAAGCAATCATCCAATCATTTGCGTTTGGGTACTTTTCTATCTAGATATAATGTTCATTATCTATTCCTGGCCTATAATAATACCAAAAGCCTCCCTGTTGCCCATTTCTGTGGCACGATCAATGCTATTAGCCATTACAAGCTTTGCAATCTGATCCAACAATGGATGCAGAATCAATACAGATACTGGGAACCAATGTGTTTCTTCTCAAAAGGGACTCCAATAGAACACATTAACAAAACCTTAGTGCACTTAACACATGCAAGCAAAGGATTTTAGCACGGGGGTGCCTTTCAGCATAGGTGGTATACATTTTGTATAATGATAAAATACAGTTTTAAAATGCAATACATTATCATTATAAAAACAACTTCCGAATATTAGTATTCTTAAAGAATAACTGCAGTTAGTGACATTGTGATACCCCTGGATATGTGTATGTCCTCACTGATCTATTAATAACGTTTATTATCTAATTAGTAATTCAATTATTTATTATTTTTTATGACTTGTATGTATTAGTTCATATGGATCATATCTTCTAATCTGCATAGAGTACTTTAGAGTTATGTAGAGTCGCTGTAGAGTTTAGATATAAATATTATAGCAGGATTTCATGTATTCTACAGTGTTTCAAAAATCTGTCAGAGCGATATAGCACTAAACTGTCACATCTGATGCTGCCATAAGTAGCTATGCGAAGGCCACGTTGTAAAACAACGGATTTCAGGCATCTACACAAAGGGGTCTATTTGTAAACAATCGCAGGGCCCTATCTGTTAACATTCTTTTTGGGTGAAATATTACAAAAATGAATGTTCAAATGTAGTTTGGTATAATACCACCTCAAGGGCACTAGGTGGTTATAGGAAATACATTTCTCTTGTGGTCATAATGTATTATTACAACACATTACATTCAAACTGTGAAAAATATATATTAAGAGCATTCATTTTTGGCATTAATCACTCAAAACGAATGTTCACAGACATTTGCAGGGTGCAGGGTCGTGGGAATTGTTTATATATAGACCCTAAAGTATGTGCAGGACTGACCTTACTTTCTCCTATCACATACAATCTTTAGCTAAATGACAGAGTTATGAAATGATGCACAGTGTAGATTTCAATTGAACTTATTTTTATTCCCCCTCCACTGTTTCACTACACAGGCCATGGTGCAACACAACCGTGTTGAACTCCTTTCCCATCCAGTTTGTAAAGAATATTTACTCATGAAATGGTATGTATAGTAAAGGTGTTATGATAATGGTTGTTTGATTAAAACAATATATAAAATGGACAGGAGAGAAACAAAAACAGTTCAGTAGGTTGTATAGATATTATATAATCTTTATTTGAAAATCAGTGTCTTGGCTTTTACATATCCCCCCTTATTCAGGGCCAAATAGTGCAAACAAAACAGTAAACAATCATCAGGACAGGTACATGAACACCCCAATGCGTAAGATATTGCATACATAAAATATAAAAGACCTAGAAAATCCCTGAAAGGGATTTGTTAATACATAAATCTAAAATGGAAAAATAATGATGATAATATAATATGGGTACTAGGCTGTGGGAGAGTGATAGGTTTTTAAAATTAGCTGGTCAAAGAGAGAGAAAAAGCGCTGCAACCAAGCTGTGTCAGTGATATTAAACCCTTGTTTCTTGTTTTTTTAATCCTCCAGAGGAGATCCACTTGTACTTGTGTAGCTGTTTTTTCCCTATTTTTTAATTTTTTTTACTTGATGTACCACGGCCCACTCCCCTCCTTTTTACAGGTGTCTCCTTTGCCTAACAGCTTGCAAAGGAGACACCCGTACATGCTCGCTCCCAGCTGGGAATTGAACTGTGCTGTGTGCGTCCATTGACACACACACAGCACTTGACAAGCCACTCCCGTGTTCCCGCCTCACAGTATCTTAATAGGCTGGTGCAACAGTCTATCACTGCCCTGCTCTCTGTAGGCTTGGGATCCCTCCTCTTTACCTGAAACTTCAGGACACTCATCTGGGAGCCAGCAGCTGTAAACATGGAGTGTAGGTAAGCGTTTGGAGGTGGGGGGACATGTAAAGGTAGCAGGGTGTTTTTTACCTTATTTCAGAGAGTGCATTAAGGTAAAAAACAAATAGCCTTTAGTGCTACTTTAAATACATGCATCATAGAGTATAAGCATTACTGGACAGACATTAGCAGGGTTATTCACAAAACTGCCAAAGGCAGCCAAGTGAATAACCCAACCGAAGTGAACCGAACGCTGTTCGGCTATTCACTTCTGCTCAGTACGGCTGATTTCAGTTGTACATCGGATAAAATCAGCCGTACATCGGCTGTCTCCGGCTGCCTTTGGTCAGCTGAACATGCTCTGCATGTTCGGCTGAGCCGAAGTGCAGAAGGAGTTCGATCGGCTGAGCCGAAGCTCCGGCAGCTCACTCACTGCCGTTCGCCCCTATTTTCATAGGGGCCGAACGGCAGTGAGTGAATAGCTGAATGCCGCTCGGCTATTCTACTCGGTACCTCCATGGTACCAAGCAGAGTAGAAAATAAGTGAAGTAAATAAAAAATAAAAAAATAAATGTTTTAAAAGTTGATAAATTGTTTTAAAATGTATGAAAATTAAATTAGTTCAAAGAAAATATCATGAAAAATAATTTTAAAAAAATGCCAGCAAAAGAAAAACAATTGGGCGGAGCTAGCAGTGACAGCTAGCTCCGCCCAACTATTTCCTATTGGGGCGCTGATCTGTCATAACAACTGGGTGGAGCCAACCGTGAGATCACGGATGGCTCCGCCCAGCTGTCATTTGCGCGGCGAACGGCCAGCCTTCGGCAGGCCATTTGCCTCGCTTAGGCTGTCACTTCGGCTCAGTCAAGCCAAAGCATATGCTGAGCCGCTTGGCCGCCTTTGGCTGCTGTACGGGCTATGGTGAATAGCCCATACAGCAGCCCTTCGGTTCGACTGAACCGAAGGGCTTTGGCGGCGGAAGAGAGCCAAAGGATCAGCCAAAGCTACGGCTGTTTCCTTCGGCTCAATAGTGAATAACCTCATAGGGTTTTACATGACTAAATTATGATCTTAGTCCAGGGAATAAGTGCAGTCTCTGGATGATGATTCTTAAGGTGGCTTAAGCCCTCTGGGAAGAAGGGAGTATTAGGCTATCAACAGAGGGAGTACTTTAATACCTACCTGTTAGTGTTGAAACTACACATTACCTAACATGCATGCTCTTGCCTGGTTTGCTTTTTTGCTTTCTGAGTCCCGTTGAAGAGATTTCCCTTCACTATCTGTCTGAATAACAAACGTTTTGTTTTTAGATACAGTTGTGTTTAAACGTTTGAATATCATGGAGAATTGGTAATATATGTAAAATTTTTAAAGAAAACATGAGTGAGCAGGCAAAAAATATTTCTTTTATTTCTTGAGGGATTTATATTCAACTGTAGGTCATAACAGAATGGTGCAATCATAAAACAAAACATGGCAACAAATAAAAAAAATAAAATGACCCCTGTTAAAAAGTCTGCATATCTTTAGTTCTTAATACTTTGTATTGCCCCCTTGAGCATCAATGACAGCGTGCAGTCTTTTGTAATAGTTGTCTATAGTGGTATAGCTGCCAATTTGTCTTGGCAAAATGCCTCAAAGTCATGCAAAGTATTTGGTTGTCTTGCATGAACGGCACATTTGGGAACTCCCCAGAGAGGCTCAATGATATTAAGGTCAGGAGACTATGATGGCCACTCCACAACCTTCAACTTTTTATTTTGCAACCACTGAAGGGTCAACTTGGCCTTGTGCTTAGGGTCAGTGTTCGGCTGGAAAGTCCAAGAGCGTCCCATATGCAGCTTTCATGCAGAAGAATGCAAATTGTCTGCCAGTATTTTTTGATTCATCTTGGCATCACTTTTCACAAGATTCCCCGTGCCTTTACAGCTTACACACCCCAAAAACATTAGTGAGCCACCACCATGTTTCACAGTGGGGATGGTATTCTAGTAGCTATAGGCCTTGTTGATCCCTCTCCAAACATAGTGCTTATGGTTGTGACCATAAAGCTCTATTTTGGTCTTGTCACTCCAAATTAAAGTGTGCCAGAAGCTGTGAGTCATGTCAAGGTGTTGTCGGGCATATTGTAACCAAGCTTTTTTGTGGCATTGGTGCAGTAAAGGCTTATTTCTGGCAACTTGACCATGCAGCTCATTTTTGTTCAAGTATCGTCGTATTGTGCTTCTTGAAACAACCACACCGTCTTTTTCCAGAGCAGCCTATATTTTCCCTGAGGTTATCTGTGGGTTTTTCTTTGTATCCCAGACAATTCTTCTGGCAGTTGTGGCTGCAATCTTTCTTGGTCTACCTGACCTTGGCTTCATATCAAGAGATCCCCAAATTTTCCATGTCTTAATAAGTGATTGAACAGTACTGACTGGCATTTTCAAGGCTTTGGATATCTTTTTATATCCTTTTCCATCTTTATAAAGTTCCATTGCCTTGTTACGCAGGTCTTTTGACAGTTCTTTTCTGCTCCCCATGGCTCAGTATCTAGCCTGCCCAGTGCTCACAAGAGCTCACAAACTCATTGACTATTTATACACAGACACTAATTGCAATATAAAAAGCCACAGATGTGGGAAATGAACCTTTTAATTTAAATTTTAACCTGTGTGTGTCACCTTGTGTGCCTGCAACAAGGCCAAACATTCCAGGCTATGTAAACATTTGATCAGGGCCATTTGTGTGATTTTCTGTTATCATGATTTAATAAGGAGCGAAACAACTATATGATAATAAATGGCTTCATATGATAACCATCCTTAAACAAAAGACAGTTTTTTTTTGCATGACCAGTCATATTTTCAATATCAATGCCAAAACTTCACAATTTCTGCCAGAGTATGCAATGTATTGAGCACAACTGTATATGTTAAATAAGTGTCTCATCCAGTGTGTCTTTAAAGTATTACATGGCCTTTTGTAGTTTAGGATAGATAATACTCTTATAATACTTGCTGAAATGCCACACAAGTAACTACTTGAGTCAGCTTAGTTTCAAAAAAGTGTAATTTTGTTGGAGACTATAGTCCCATTGTAGAAAAAAGAAGATATCAATCTCTAAGCTCCTGACCAAAATTACAGGTATTGCAAGCCCACTGCTGCCTGAAATAGAGCTTTTAAGCATATCGGTTGACAGATTTCGGTTTACCCTCCTCATCATAGATCTATTGTCATGCATATTTTGTTTTCTGCTAGAATTCTTATAGCCCACAATTGGCGCTCCTCGAACATCTCATCCATGCCTGAAATTTTCTGTAAGGTCTCCTCCAATTGCCACCATGAACAGTTCCTCGCCTATACATTGAACTCACGGGCCCTATTCCACAAACGTTGGGATGCTTCAATTTTCACAATCCGCTCCTGAATTTTGAGAAAATAGTGTGACTTTTCTTACGTTACACCGTGTGCCCTTATTGGAACAAATTAACCAGTCCAATGCTCCTCCTTGCTCTCTCCCACACCCCTCACCCCCCCTCTACACTATCCTCTACCTACCCCCAACTTCCAATACAGCCTTCCCTACATTCTTCTCCTGCAACACCTCCCTATTTCTAAACTTTCTCTGAACCTGGCACAGAGTGCCCGATATAGATTGTATAATCCTCCTTAGATCTTGTCTGACCCCCCTGATCTCCAAGCACTTGAAATCGTATTACTTTTATGACTATGATGTCGAGGATTGTATATACCCTGAACAGCAGTACTGAATATACCTCTGTGTCAGGATACTTGACAGTGTTGCAATTGATGTCAAATGTCATTGTTATGGTTTGTGCTGTATATTTCCTACCCCTTACTGAAAATAAAAATCTAAAGTTTTAAAGTAAAAAAAAGAAGATACATTGTGGAATTTATGTGTTTAATTTGTATCATAGCTCAGCTCTTATTTTTACTTTTTGTGTTTTAGGAGGGCTTATGGATTTAAGGCGCATCTGCTTAATCTTGGAATCTACTCAATGGGACTTATTCCTCTTACTTTGCTGATAATGTTCGCCACGGTACCTGAGGGCCATTCAAACAATTCGACTTCAAATTCATATCCTGAACCATTACAACTCCAGGTACTTCAGGGCATTAAACCAATAATATAAATGGAATAGATTGTTTAGCTGGGGCCTTACACTACATAGTTGTTTTTTTACATCAACTGCAGTTCATTTTCATACTTTTCAAATATCTAGACTTTCTTCTAGATACCAAACATCATGTTATGAAAGCAAACCTGACACTAGACATCCAAGTTGAATTTATGTAGAAAGAACAAAATACTTTCTTGAAACTTATAATAAGCAACTACATACAGATACAGCATTTAATATACATTATTGAAAACTCTGGGGGAAAATGTTATTAACCCTTGCAGTGGGGCTGCCCTCACACTGCAAGGGTTAGCTACATGTTTGTGTCTAGGTGCTAAAAAAAAGTTATACTCACCCGATCATCCAAGCTGGCTTGTTCTTAGACTGGTCCCTAAAGCCTCTCTCTCCCTCCTCCTCCCGTCGGCCATGTAAACAGCCAGTACCAGCTGTTACATACAAGCGTTGGGCTGGCTCTAAAGCTGGCCGATTGCTTGTATTACACTGTACAGTGCCTCCCCTCTGCTGCCGCACTCCCCACTCCCTCCACCACCCCTGCTGGTTATCCCGGGCTCCGCTGTGCCCCCTGCGGGCCCTGGACCTGCACAGCGGCTGCCTATAATGAGAAGGAGGAGAGATCAGCATTCCCCCACCGCTGATCTCTCCCCCTCTCTTTCTAAAGGTGGAAGCGATGTGTATTACCTAACTTCTGCCTTTAGCTGTCATTTCCCTGGCTGCTATAACCAGAGAAGAAGCTGGTGAAGCAGATCTCTGCTTCATCAGCTTCTTTGGGGGTCCCAAAGTGACATTAGGGGTTTTAGAGCCCGCTGATGTCTCCATAAAGAGGACCTGTCATTGTATATTGGCTATCACATAGGGGGCTTGTTAGCCCCCTATGTGATAGCTATAAAATTTATTGTAAAAAAATAAAATGAATGTCACATATAAAAATAATCAAAGTCATATATTAAAAAATAAAAAACACCCCAAAAAAATGTAAGTCTCCCGCCCCCGCATGCACGCACATATAAAAGAAAATATGCGTCGGGTGTGTCTAGGTGTGAAAACAACGATTACGCCACACATGTTACATATTGCCAGAACGTCGGAGTGAGAGCAGTAATTGTAGGGCCATTGATCACTGATAACACTAAACTGATGAGCAGTAAAAGCTTTTAAAGTGTTGCCTATGGCCAATTTAGGTATGGTAGTTTTTCACAATTTCAAAGCTTGACATGTTTGGTGTCTATGTACCCGAAGTGACCCAAGCTTTTATATTTTACCAAAAAATTGGCTAATAATAAATGTTTAATAACATAACTTTTTTTTCAAATCTTATGGTACCTTTTTCATTATATAGTAAAAAATAAAAACCCCAGTCGTGATTAAATACCAACAAAAGAAAGCACTATGTCTCCCCAAAAAATGGTATAAAATTAATGTCAGTACATCGTTGCATGACGGAATAAATGTCAGTCAAAGTACCGCAGTGCTAAATACTGAACAATTGCCTGGACAGGAAGGGCGTTGAACACCCCGGTCAGCAAGTGGTTAAATAGTACTTTGATGCCTAGTTATCCTAACATTTCTTTTTTATTAACTCTGCTAAGCACAGAAATAATGACAAGGAGACTAAATTTTAACTTATTTATAAAATATTTTACAGGGCCCTTTACCCTACAAAAACCTATGATCAGTTGTTTTGGGGAGAATAATACGAAAAAAAGTATTGTTCTTAATATAACATTTTTCCAAGTTAAAATGTAGTGTAGTGTTACAATACATTATTGCCACTAGGTAGAGCTGAGGAGCATAGAAAATAAATACTCCTGTCTGATTTTTAATGCTGTCTTTGTCCTTGTTGTAGATTCTTCCCTTACTTCCTGTCTGGTGATACTCTTGTCAGCATTACAGGAAGTGAGAGTAATTCTATCTAACAGATCCCCGGATAGTGGAGGAAATTCAACAGAAGTTGCAGTACTTCTCCACTCTAAGTTTTTGGTTTAGCATGCACTTGAACTAATGCAAAGGCATTGGTAGTGTAATGGCTCACCTGTTATATTTTTCACTTATGTCACTACTGATCTGCCAGCGCCATTTTAAAGCAAAAGCTACAGCAACCTCCAACACCTACTGCCACGGCTGAATTTCTGAGCAATTCTGACAGGCAAATCTTTGGCTTTTCCTGATAATATAGCAAGTACGCACGTACATATTCCTGCTGAGCACACCAGCCATTATCTGTACTTGCTGTTGTCATGGATCCTCTACCATTGGAATGAAAGGAATACACCTGAGTTATAAAAGGTTAGTTTGTCACACCTCCATCTCCGTCACGCTTGTCATTATCTGAATGTACATGCGGTTGGGAAAAATGGCTATTCAACCCACCCGAAGGCTTGAATACTTGCACCAGCAAAAGAGCCACCAAAGAAGTCGTCACTTTTGTTAGCTTAGTAAAAAAGATGAAAATATGTTTATTCTGAGCACCTAATCATGTAACAGAAATTAGGAAAAATTAAATCAGGATTTATTTTTTTTGCACATAATTGAAACAGATTCAGATTTACCTTATTTACTACACAAAAATTTACTTGATGGGTGAACAGTGTTTACTCCTTGTAAATCAGCCCCAGTACAGCAAACAATGGCAAAAAGCAGTGGAAGTGGTTCCCCCTTTCTGTTTACCACATGGAGGAGCCCCAGTAAAATAATGGCATTCAATCTATCATGGGATTCCACATGATTTCTGAAGTCATTAATCTTTGTAGAAGTTGTGCTGTGGGATATAATTGCCAGTGTATATGTGCTTTTTTGCAGGATTCTTATTTCACCCGCACATGTATGGCCCTTGTAATGATGATGAGTATTTTGGGGATGTTAAAGGAGATCGTGCAGATGGGCCAGCATGTAAGTCAATGTGTTAGAAGCAAAACATGTAAGGAAAGCCAAAATATATCTATGTTTTGGTACAGCCAGAGGTAAAATGTATTTTCTATGTTTAGATCGAGTATAGAATTGCTATTTCGCTTGGCAGATTTTTATTGCTGTTTGTATCTCCATAGAGTAGGTTTCTGTTTTCTTCCAATTCTGTCAAACACTCATCACCTAGAGAGGAAGTGAAGGTAGATCTTTCCAGTGGAGTCACAGACAACAATGGAAACCTGGCATGTATTCCCCATCCCCAATGTATCCAAACTAAAGAAAAATTATTCTCCATCCAAAACAAAATAGTTTTACCCATAGCTGTGGTGAGTTGGTTGCTTTATGTGAGCAAAGGAAAAGATTCATATCCCTTTGCATAGCACTATAACAAGGTGTGCTGGTGAGGATTGTTATTTTCCTATGATTGTATAATGGAAACATCCACCAATTCACTACAGCAACCTGCATGAAGTGTGGGCAAACCTGTAAAGTGTACAATGGATACAATGTCAGATATAGAACCTGACTGGGGTTTTAATTATTCCTGCTCTATCCAAATATTTAAAAAAATATATAAACTGATAACAGTATGTTGTGGTAGTTTTAAAGCGTATCAAGATTCTAAAGCAAAAATATAACATATTGCAGCTTACCAATCCTTAAATGTGGTGGCTGTACTAGTTTCCTTTTTTCCCCCTTAATTTTCACCTGGTGATCCAGCCAGTAAGTCTGTTATTTTACAACTTCATTTAGCTGACCAAGCTGTCCAGAAAAAAAGGGCAGATAGAGGGTTGAATCAAACCATTTTACACTGACAGGGGTGTTTACAATGGTCAGCTTTTATTAATTTATGTAAAAGTAAAACCTTTATCCCAAATGGAAAAAAAAAGAAAAAAAATTTTGTTGTAACTGCTTATAAAGTGTGAACTGGAGTTCAGATTTAATATGTTAGTCAAGTCAATTTCAATTTGCTAGTCCATCTAACACTACCCTCCCCACAGTGTGACAATGCTGCTGTCCAATGGCGGCTCCTTTGCTCCTCCATAACCGTGAAGCCATTCTAACGCAGGAAGCGTGTTAACGGCTGGATCACCAGGTGAAAATAAAGTAAAAAGAAAACTAATGCAGGAATAGTAATTTGCAATATATTCGATATTTGTTTTTGGGTTTAGATACGCTTTAATGTAGGGACTACTTACTTTCTCTGCTCCAGCAACATGTCTCCTAGTAGGTTTTTCCCTGGGTGTAACAGCCATGCCAATCAGGTGGGTCTGCATCACATGACCAAAGTTTTAAAGCGCCAGCATACTCCATGGGCAAACGCTCATGTAATGTTTGTTCATGTGATGTCAAGCTTACCTAGCCTCTGCTGGGCTCCTTTTGCTGCCGCCTGGTCCATGATGCCCATAGCTGCTACTCCAATTAAGTCCCTCCAGTCACTGCTGACAGCTGATGCTATTCCTAGTATGCACTGCCTGTTGCTCCTTACTGCTGGTGCTACTCCTGATATGCTCTGTCAGCCACCGCTGGGCGCTAGTACCATTCATGGTAAGCTCCACCTGTTGCTCTTGCTTGCTGGCAGTATTCTTGATATGCTCCACCTGTTACTTCTGCCCCCTGATGCTACTCCTGGTATGTTCCATTTGTCGCACCTGCTTACTGCCGCTGCTCCTGCTATGCTCTGTCTTGTTCCTATTTACTGGCATAGTTCCAGATAAACTCCAGCATCTCTACTGCCTGCTGGCATAATTTTTAGAATGCTTCATTGTTGCAAACTCTGCTCCTCCAGGCCCTCACTATTAGGTCCAGCAACTCCAGGTATAATCTGTTTGCTAGACTTTGCTCCATTTAATCCTTGCAACAGGGCGGCACAGCACTTCAAAGCATCTCTCTTCACTACTCTCGCCAGCTCCTCAGCTTCCTCACTAGTCACCTGGCTGTTTCTGCCTGTGGTCCTATGGCATCTTTCAGCTATGTATGCCAGCAACAGGGAAAGCGACCTGGAGGCAGGTCACAGCTGAGTTCAAACCCCTATGAGAGGGTCCCTGGTGAATACTGGCAATTACTTAGACTCCGCTCCTTTTTAAACCCAGTTGTAGTCATGATAGAGTACAGCCTTTTCTACTTCACTTGGTTCATGATAGGTAGGATCAACAGGTATTTTTTCACAGATATGACAAAAGCCTTTTACTGGTATGTTTAACAGTTCAAAAGCTGTTTCTTATTAGGGTTTACACACACTTTTACTACTCTTAGTGCTCTGGGAACCTAGCAATTATGGTATATAAAATGGTATAGGTATGGAAAATATGTGGTTTTCAATGATTATTGTCTAAGCCTACCCCCAATTCCTGCCTGTCTCATAATTCTATGATAAGGATTGTGGTAGCTTCTGTGGAATATGAGTAAAGGTATGGTCTTTCAGATGTTTAGGGCTTCCTGCGGCATGCACGAAATTAGGTAAATCTATAATACATAAATGCTAACTAAGGTCATATTTGTACTTGTGATTAGAAACTCGGCTATCTAATGGACGGCAGTAATATTGTAGACTGGACAATCCATATATCAAGCATCATGTTTGTGTCATCTATATATACGATGCCTCTCTCTGTATCATTCTGGCAATGGCAAGCTGGAGCAGTTGCAGTATTTGCATCTTGGGTCAACTTTTTAATTTATCTGCAAAGGTAAAAATATATCCGAACATCAAATGTAATTCCTTTGATTTAAGTATGAACATATTACCATATACAGACATATGAACACTTGAATATAGTGGCACAAGTAGCACATGCCAGCTAAGGATCAGTTGAAGGATCTTTTACTTCACATACACATTTCAACCTTTACCTGCTCTAGCTGGGTTGGATGACAAGCATACTATTTATTAGACATGTGCAATTCGTTTCGTTCCGAATCGAAATTCTGACGAATTTTCGGAAATTCGGACATTCGGATGTATCTGAATTCCGAATTACAGATATAACGAATGCAAACGAATCCGAATTTCCATTTCCGAAATTCGTTAGCGGTAGTTCGGGGGAACGTTCGTTTCGTTCGTTAGAACAAAGTGAAATTAGAGGAGAAAAACATTTCCCCCCCCCCCCTCACATGTCACTTTGCTGCAAACGAACGAACGAATAAAAAACGAACATGAAACGAACGTTCGACCGAATTACCGCTAACGAATTTCGTCCGAATCCGAATTCCGAATCCGAATTGACTTTCACACCCGAATCCTGAAAAACAAAATAAAACAGATCCGAATCAAAACGAAACGAAACTAAACACATTTTTTGGCAGTGCACATGTCTACTATTTATACAGTAGCTACCTTAAAACATTTTAAGGCATATATCCCCTGTAACACTTGAGAGTGCATTAGAGCTTGTAACATGTGCATTTTCTTCAATAAATGGTGCAGGGAAAAAAGGCACTAACTGCAGTAACACATAGCAAACAAACATAATTCACTTTATTAAAGCAAAACCAGTATCAGATGCATTCTGATTTATTGCTCTGGGTGCTCCTATTATTTGTATAGTAATATTATTGTATTAGGGTCACATGATTTATGGTTTACTTGTTATAAACTTTATTAGTATTCTGTTACAGTACTGATTGGACCTGCACCAGAAGTGGCACTAGATAAATGTTTTGCTTAGATAGTAAATATTATCTCTATCCTGCCCTCTGTTCAGGATGCGATTTGAAGAAACAAACAAAGAATGAGTATATTTCCTTTTGTCTGCCTCCTGCCATTTGTGTATAATGACAGCATTGGAGAAGAACCTTGACAACCTTGAATTGTCAACACACATTACTGTATTGAGACAGCAAGAGGATAGATGAACTTACTCACCCCTTGTGCATTATATAAAATGGAATAACAGGGGCACATAAAGCCTGGCTCAGAAGGCCGGCAGCCATACATTAGCTATATTATGGGATAAGAAAGCACCTGTGCATTAACTGTACATAACAATGTGTATTTATTGTAATCTCTTTAGGTTTGAAACATGCGGAATCTATATTGTGATGTTTTGGGAGATTCTGAGAACATTAATACGAATTGTTGTGCTCTTCTTTTTCTTAATCTTGGCATTTGGACTGAGCTTCTTCGTACTCCTTTACCCCCAGGTTTGTAGGAATGGTATTTGTATATGTATAAATCTCTATACGCACTGTTTTAAATGTTTCCCTCTAAAGGGGTTGCTTGAGTAGCTGGTTTCCCGTAGTTGCTGGTATAGTTGGTTCTATCCTATTTTTCAAAATTACCTATATCAACTCTGCTTATAATAAACAAATAACATGAAATGTTTATTGTTTCTGATAAAATACATGATTATATAGATTGATTCTTTTTTTTCTCTGTTTTTAGACTCCATTCAGAAATCCTTTATTAGCCCTGATGCAGACATTTACCATGATGCTTGGAGATGTTAACTATCAGGATGGGTTTCTTCATCCGTTCCTTGACAACCAAATTGAGAATCCAGTTTTCACCTTTGTGCATCTAATTATATTCACACTGTTAATCCCAATCCTATTGATGAATTTGCTTGTAAGTTAGAATATTTTTCTGCGATCATAATGTGCAGTAACATAGAAGGATACCCAGTTCCAATCATTGCTCCACATCTTATTGCTGTTTAATTTGGTGAAATAAAGTTTAAAAAACTTAGATGCACTAGCTGTCAAACCAACCTATGATAACTGTATGGTTATGCTGCCATACCAGGTTATACCAGCAGGTGGCTTTGTAAGCAAAATCTGCCACTACAGCTCCTGATTTCACAAAACAAATGGACATCTCTCTAGAATGCTACATAGTGTAGTCACTAACAAATAGGAGCTTTCTTTTTTATCTCTACATTTATTTTAACTCACTTGATTCTGCAAATTCTTATTTAACCACTTCCGGACCTCAAAACATATATAAACGTTATATTTAAAAACATGTGTGTGCAGAAATTAAATAATTGTTCTATACCTAACGTAGTTAGCTCATCTTATTGAGCAGATTCTCATTAGAGCAGTATGACATTACATCGCCATATAGCATTCCCACTTTCACTACCAAATAATAACAGTCTATAATTTGGTAACTGATAAATGGTTGATCAATGTCCATCTCCCAAAATATCAATGTTTTGTTGAACTAAAATAACAGAGACTTGTAAGATACAAAAAGTTAAAGCTTGTACCTAAAATGTAAAGGGTAACTCCAACTGTCTTTCATTTTTATATTGTAAGTCATGGAAATGAAATAATGAACCTTTGCAAAAAATAAATGTTTTGCCTGTCTTATGCTTTTGCAAGACTTTGTGCCAAAATGAGTTGACATCTCTAAATTGAGTTGTCTTTATTTTTGCCCTGGAATATTGCTTTTCATTGAGTGTGAGATCTTAACAGAAGCACAACATTATACAGATCTGGGATCCTCCAGAGTCTGTAACCTGTAACAGACAGGAGATGCCATAAATACCGTTGAAAACTTTTTTTCTTTATTTTTACTGCCCTATATTACACTTTATACACTTCACACTATATTACACATCAGATTGATTTTATAGAAAGAAAAGAAATGGGGTTACCCAATAAAGGAATTATGTTTAACATATTTATGAAATCATCATATTAAAAATGTGAAAAGAAACTTATGTAACTGAACCAACTACATTCCAAAATAATCAAAGTTTTTCATGTGAATGTACAATTTCTTCATGTAAATTACAGATTGGTCTGGCTGTTGGTGATATTGCAGAGGTACAACGAAATGCAGCACTTAAAAGGATTGCAATGCAGGTAAATTCATTTCTTTGTGTAAACCTTTCCTCTGTAGAAGAGACAAAGAGCTAAAACACATCCGTTCTGTTCCCTGAAAGGGATAACCAACATGCACTTCCAAGTGCAATCTGTAACAAACATTAGATACATGCTATTACCCCATAGGTAGACATAACACCAATCTTTATGGTCAAAACCATCAGGTTGGTGTTTCAAATTTAAGCACCCCTCCAGAAAAAATGTTTAAATGAGCTTCAAAAATAGCCCCATGAGCTTCAAAAATAAAAATAGTTTTCAGGCTATCTCCTCTGTTGAGGTATGCTCGGCAGTAAGTCATTTTCTTCTCAAGATCTCCTCATTCTTCTAGGTGAAAAAATGAACACTCCTGAACAGAGCCCAGGGACTCTAGCACCTACTCCCCAAAGTCTTCAATAGAAAGTGCCAGAGTGATTCCACACCGCTGTGTTTCAAGTGGCAAAAACATGCACTCACCAACTCTCAATGGCCACCTTACTACAGATGAGCCATTATGCGCTTTATCATCAGGTCCATTTGAATAATCCCCTTCTTTTTATCCTTCAATGCCAAGAGTACTATGCACCTTCTCATCTGTGACTCTCCATATTTCCCCTCTCCTCCTAACAGTTGTTTGCCATCAGAGCTTAGAAAAACATAATATGCTTTGGTTGCAATGTCAATACTCATGTGGGAACACTCACATCAGCTACAATCTATGAAACGGTTTCATGCCTGGTGGCTGTGCCCCAAATTACACCCATTTGTTTTAACAAACTTTGCATTAATCTTCAGAATTACAGGGATAAGGCTCCTTAGAGACTCTCTTAATTTTTGCTAAACAAATCGACATTTCTAAAAAGAAAGCTAAATTTATAACTTTTCTATTTCTAGCAGCCAAAATGTTGATAGCTAGGTCCTGGAAATCCCTTATGATATGTTTTGACCTTTTTAAATCCAATGTATCCAGGATGATGACCTATGAAAAACTCTCTAGCATACTACAAGATAAACAAGAAAACTTTCTAGCAGCCTGGGGTCCTATGTTGGCATGTCCAGTTCTCCAGAGGTTCCTGTGCAGGGAGGGGGGTCAAGCTTTCCGGACCAATTTTCTTAATCTGTTCCTTTTTCTCTTTCCTTTCTTCTGCATCCCCTCTTTCTGTTCTATCTTTGTTGTGGTGTAACCTTCGGTGAATACCTATTGCTACAAGGCTTCCTTTTTATCACCTTGTTATTCTAGATTGTTGATACAATTGTTCTGTATGTCCCGTGTTTTACATCTGTTCCGTATCACCAATTGTTATTCTTGCTTCAATTGAGGTCATTTCTATTTTATTTATTTCTGTATTTTGCATTCAACATGCATGCCCTGTGTTATGATGTATGCACCACTTATATTATGTATTTTTTGTTTGGAAAAATAAAATTCTTTGAAAGTTAAAAAAAAAAGATGCACAGGGGGAAAAAAAATCATATAATATGTCAATCCAAAAGGGGGGTGGGAGGTAGTGGTTGGGATTAGAACCTGGAGTTGGGTTTTGAAGATTACACTTTACTTGAATCAAGAAGCAAATATCAACTTTACCAAACACATGATTCATTTTGGATTATAAAGTACCCTTTTGCTTGACTTAACACAATTGTTTTTCTTAAGCTTCTCTTGTGAACAAAAGCAGGATCGGCAAGGTTCAACATTTTGCAGCATTACTGAGCAAGAAATAGAGCATGTGTTGTCTTTCATGTACATATATAATTACTAGTTATATAGAGAACCAAGGTTTATATTAAATCATATTATATAAACCATCTTAGCTACTAAACTAAAAAATAATATTACTAGACCACCTTAAAATGTATTTCTACTTTTGCAGTCAAATTTGAGAAAACCTCCCTATATGTTTGCTATATGCTTCTATTCACACAGCATACCGAAAAATTATATTTCTTACCTTTTAAGATGTTTTGTTGCAACAGGCAAAATGGCTGAATCCAAGTTTTTCTCAGCACTTTTACAGTGATCTGTCCTTATAGAAAGACATTGGATTGAAATTTGCTGATTTGTGTTTCTGCCATTAACTTTATTAACATTTGAATGAAAAAGCCATCATTTACCCTCTCACAGCCCCTCATAACATTACAAAGAAGGAGAAGCAAATAGAGATTTTAATCCTTTAGAGACTGTACCCTAAGTGAAAGCAATTTAAAATGTAAGAAGCATTTTCAATCTTTTTTTAGCTTATGCTATGTGAATGGGAACATGTAACAAATATAAAATGGGAGTTATCCCAATTTGGCTGCAACATGTTGTACACCCTCAAATGTAGTATCTGCAGTGCAGTGCTGTACCTTCTTAATTAACCCTCTTATTCAATATAATAAATATCTACAGTGGTGGCATCTATGAGCAGAGTAGAATTACAAGTTTGAGCACTGTGTTTAATGTACAATTATAGTGCAGTTAGCTGGTACGTGCTTTTAATCTTTTTAATAAGGTAGTTTTATTAAAATGGAAATCACATTGGGATTTCTTTATATCTGTTTATATTCACTAAACCTGAAGAATTATAATTGGTGGTGGACCATTGATTAATTAACCCTTATGTGGTTCAATCTCTGTGTGAACTTATTAGGTCCACCAAAGAAAGTGAGGCATTGTCCAGTATGGGTGAAGCTGTATCAAGCACTTAAAGCGATACTGCAATCTCCTATCCCTTACAGGCACGGAAGGTGCCATTTTAACATGTATTTGGAATGCAGTTGCCATGGATCTACACACGTGATTAGCTATGACAACAACCATTTGAGGGATTGAAAGTTTGGTTGAGAGCTAAAATAAGCGCACTGTCAACATTGACACTTGACATCCCTTAAAAGTAACTGTTTTGGGAGATGGTTAAATTGGTGGGTCAAGTTCCTCTAGAGCTAAGGTGATTTGAGGATTTGCAGGAAGAAACACTTTGCACAAGCATGAGAAGTGTGGCTTTGGACTATATAGGGTTACTTGCATTGTATTCCCACAATTTATATATTTAATTATTGTATATGTGTATTTGTATTGTGCACTAGTGGTGGTTGGGAGTATTTATTTTTTTCATAAGAATTGATACATTTTATTTTTTTTAAAGAAGAAAACGTAACCCTTGCGCTGGGGCTACCCCATGCACTGCAAGGGTTAAGTGCTTATTTTCAATAACAAATATATACTCACCTGCTGATGCTTGGGACCACTTGGCTGCTAGACCGGTCCCTGCAGCTTCTCTCCCCCTTTGCTCCGGCGGTTTAGGGACCCGTGAATCATCACGTCCAATACATTGTATTGGACAGGGCCGTAGATAAAAAAATTTCCTGGGGGGGGTTCAGCTTTCTAAAATGATAAGATTTTATCTAGCAGACACACCAAGGTTTGAAAAAATATATACCAGCCATATCATTCCTAAACCTATCCTTTAAACCAATCCTTGACCCTGAGCAATACCGATTTAGTTGTTTGACACCATATGGATAAAAACCATGTTTTAAAGAGACTTAAAATTGGTAGCTACCAATTCACACGAACAGCTTAGTATACTGTATACTTATTGGGATTTTTTTACCAAAAACATGTAGCAGAATACATTTTGGCCTAACTTGAGGAAGAAATTTGATTTTATTTGATATTTTGTATAGCAAAAAGTAGAAAATACCACAATTTTTGGTCTTTTTTCATTTATATAAAAAAATCAAATAAATTTAAAAAACCCAGCGGGTTCTAAATAGTACCAAAAGAAAGCTGTATTTGTGTAAAAAATTAGGCCCCCGGCGGCAGGTCTTTCATTAGCGCCACCCTCCCCCAACAAATCAATCCATAGTTCAATGCTCTAGACAAACTGTTCCCTTACCTATGTTTTCCCCTCCTGATCCACCTTCAAATCACCTCATTCTCCAGTGCTGCTTTGTTAATTTAGGAGCCATTTCTGGGATTGCTTCAATTTTCCCGGCAATGCCCCTTCTAATATGTCATGGAGGAAAGACTTGAGTGATTTCAAGCCTACACTCCATGGTGGTTCAGGAGGGGTGCTGCCGCACCAAAAGAAGGGACCACAGAAGCGGGTATAAAGCCACTGATCCACCATGGAGGCCCACCACATAGCAATACATTATACAGCAATGCAGAATACCACTAGCTATAGAGGACTACAAATCCCAGCCATACATTATATAACAATGCAGAATAATATGACGCTACATACTCTGTGTTGCTCTAGGGTGGTGGCCTGATGTCTCCAGGGCCTCAGGAGGGCTGTGCAGGGTCTCAGGATGGCTGTGTGGAGTCCCAGGATGGCTGTGTGGAGTCTCAGGTGGGCTGTGGAGGTCTCAAGTGGGCTGTAGGGATCTCAGGTTGACTGTGCGGAGTTTCAGGTGGACTGGGGGGTCTAAGGTAGCCTGTGGGGTCTCAGGTAGGCTGTGTGGAGTCTCAGGTGGGCTGTGGGGGTCTCAGGTGCCTAGTGGGGTCTCAAGTTGGGCTCTGCAGATTATTATTATTATTAATAATGTTTTTGTTTTTATTTTTTAAAATCTTTTTATCATCTTATTTATTTTAATTTCTTTATTTTTTTACTTTTTTTTCACTTAACTTTATTGCCATCACACAGGGGTTAACAAGCTCCAGCGTGATAGCATTCGAAGGTGGCAGGTTCTATTTATGAGCCTGCCCTCCAGTACAGACTCTGGACTCTGGAGTTAGATTGCACTGGACACGGGACTTAGAAACGCACTAGACTCTGGACTTAGAACGCAACTTACTCTGGACTTAGAACGCAACTGACTCTGGACTTAGGAATGCAATTGACTAGGGACTTAGGAACGCACTAGACTCGGAACTCAGGCCTGGTGCAGACCTACGCGATCCTGGAACGTGCGTCTTGGGATCACGCGATCCTGCACAACGCAGGCCGTGATTGCCGTGCGGCCCCATTGATTTCAATGGGGTGACATCTGATCGGCAATTGCAGAAAAAAAGGTACATGTACCTTTTTTTGCGATACACGAAGCACGGCTGTTTCAGCATGTTCAGAAGCACAGGCTCAATCGCGAGGGGAAACCACGTGATCCGCCCCGTACAACCAGGGTACCATTAGAAAATAATGGCACCCACAGTGCGATCGGTGCACACCTAGGCGACTCCTGATCGCGCGGCAATCCGCGTGGAATCGTGCATGATTGCCGCATGGTGAGGTTTCACCTAGGTGTGCACCTGCCCTTAGGAACACACTAGACTCGGGACATAGGAAAGCACTAGACTCTGGACTTTGCAACACAGTGAACTTAGGACTAAAAACAGAAGTATACTCACAGATAATACAAGCCTCCCTCCCCAGGCCCTACTACCTGATTGCCCGCTCTGTCTCCATGTAGCCTCATGATTCTGGTCACTGGAAGGATACCCTGTCTCCTGCAGAGCCCACACTGTGGCATGTACTGAACATCCAGGGCCAGGCAGTTACATGTACATCTGAAGGGATGCCCGGGGATGTCCTGTTTGATAAATATGAAATATATTCCGCTCTCCTCCAGCCGCCACCGATGTTTTATCAAACAGGACATCCCCGGCATCCCTTTAGACAGCCATGCCCGTCTGTGGATGTTCTTCAGACCAGCGCCCAGGAGCATGTGACCACCTCTACCCCCCTTGCTACGCCACTGCCAGGACACTCTGGGGGGAGGGGGGTTGAACCCCTGCTCCCCCCTTATCCCCCCCTGGTTTTGGATGTGAGGATATTGAGGGACATTCCCTCACTGGAGTGGAGGGGAAGAGAGGCTACAGGGACCAGTCTAGCAGCCAGGCAAATCCGAGGATCAGGTGAGTATATTTTCTGTATTTTTGCACCTAGATGAAAACGAGCACTTAACCCTTGCACTCCAAGGGTAGCCCCACTGCAAGGGTTAGGTTTTCTTCTGCCTGAAGTTTTTCTTTCAAGTAGATATTTATTATATCTTATAAGAGGGTTAAGAGGGTATAGCACTGCACTAAACAAAGCATTTTCTAAGGTTTATAATAAGTAAACACACAATGGTTAATGAGTGTCAAATAATATTAGGATAACAAGGCTACAATTCCTCTTTTAATGAATATATAAATGTATATATCTTTTTTTTTTCTCTGTGGCATTTTAACGTGCGTGTTTTTGAATTTGTTATACTATTATTGATTGATTTATTTACATAGGTAAGCCTGCACACAAACCTAGAGAAAAAGTTGCCATATTGGTTCCTAAAGAGGGTGGATATAGTCAATTGCATTGTGCACCCCAATTGTCCAAGAATCTGGGGACATGCTATCAATTCTGTAAGTAATCCAAAGTTTAGTTTAGCATTCTGATGTTGTGGAAAGGACAAGCTAACAATGGATGCATTCTAGAGTATTAAACGCTTCAGATCCTGCACCAGTATATGTCTTGTGAACCAGAGCAACCAGATACATTACTGCTGTGGGCCTGTTTATTTGAATATAACGTTGTCAGTACTGAACCGCTTGAGTCCCCAGTGCTTCTTCCCCCCTAAATTCTTCTTGAGTTCCAGATCAAAGGCTAACCTTCTTTTTTTATTTCCATTTTTTTTTTGGACGCTTTAAAAAGTGCAGAATAAAAGAAAAAATGCCTTTTTTTTTTATTTGTAATTTATGGTTTGTATCAGAAACTTAAAGGAGAACTATGAGGTGAGTGATTTTTACTCAACCTCATAGTTTGAGCTGACGCGGGAAAATGAAACTGTCACACGCCGACTCAATAGATCGGGAAGTGAGCAAACACATACCGCCTTAGCTGTAGCTCACGGTATACTGAGCATTGGGTCACGGGAGGACACTAGTTTGTGTCCTCCCGTGACCCTTAGGAGAACTATGGGAAAAAACACTGACCCCATAGTTCTCCTTTCATTTTGTGTCATTATAAACGGGACAAATTATATAATAAAATGTGCATATGTTTTTTCTCCACAGCATCAATTGTTTTAAGACTAACACTGGTCAAAGTTGGATAAAACTCTTTTTATATAGCTAGGCATAAATATATATAAATGCCGAATTCCTTTCTTCCTCAGGTTTTGCTGAAGTTTTTCATTCAGTGCGAAGGCTTTAAAGTTGAAACGTCTGGAAATGATGCAACGATGGAACTGGAGCTCTGGAAACAAAAAAACAGGTTAGCATATGCAGTAGTTTATAAAGAACAATCACTGAACTTTGGCAACTGCAGCTATAGAGCATAGGGCAGAAATGAATTCAGTCTATGGGATGGGTGTGCGAAGTGTGGTATTGAGTCAATATTATATTTTGTACTGTATAACTTTGTTTTTTCTAAATCCCTTAGGCTTCATAACAGAGCAATGCACTTTTTGTTTAATCTTGAGTCAGCATTCCACCAGTACTAATCTCCTCCTCTGGTCCTAATATCTACCCCAATCACACAGCAGCTGTACCTGACCCTGTAGACATGTGTTAACAGTAATCTAATGCTGATCATGTATTACCGCACTGCTTCCACATCATATATACATAGCATGTAGCAGGAGGGTGGAGGTGAGATTATTGCTGTTTGCTTCTCTTAAAGGGTGTTGAACTGCAACTCCCATAAGTGTCCTTGATCTTCGCTCAAAACCTGAACTGAGGTTAGATACTAGCAGAAAGTATTGGAATCGTCATTTATTTATTTAAGTGGAACTGAGGAGGAGTGGGCCCAGAGGCTTAACTAGAACCTTCAGGGCCCCGGTGCAAGAAACCATGAAGGGCCCCCCAACCCGGCACCGTGTGGTTAACAGGAAGGCTACCGAGGTCCCCAGCAAGCGCGGAACTCAGGCAGCCACTTGTTTAAAATGTTAGCGCCGGTGTTCTGTCGAGAACGCAGATACAGTATCTGCGCTTGCTGGGGACTAAAGATGGGATTAATGAGGAAACCGGCATTTATTTACAAAATATTAGTTTGTAATGGTTAATTGTGACCGTTAATAATATACCGTCCATGGCAGTAAATGATGGATGGAATATTATTAACGGTCACAATTAACGATTTAAACAAAATACATTGTCAATAAATCCCTGTTTCCTCGACCATACCGGTCTGTGCGCAAGCGCAGATGCTGAGGTTGGCAAATTCGACTACATCAGCGTTCTCCACAGAACACCAGTATCTGCGTTTAGTATCAGGGCATTTTCATGAGTATGAGTACTCGTGAAAATGCCCAGTATAGGCACTCCCGCGCCCCTGCTGCCCCCCCGGTTGTTACGCCACTGCCCCACCCCCCACTTCCCCCCGCCCCCCTTCCTGGTCCAGACTTACCTTACCTCTCCTGCAGCACCTTCTTCCGCGTCTTGGCGGCCAGGGGGCGGGGCTAAGTGGAGTGGGTCCTCTCTCACACAGCTGAATGTGCTGCCTGGCGGTGCCTGCACCACATTCTGCTGGACAAATGACAGCCTCTCCAGCCCCGCCGCACAGCCGCCCATACATGCTGCAGGTGGCGCAGCGGCACTATCTCGGGGGGGCCTCTTCTTCCTCGCTGGACCCCCCCCCCCCAAACAGGCGGAACGCCAGGGCATGGTTGCAAATGAAACCACTGCGACCCTGGTAGTTCCACCAGTGAGTGGGCCTGTGGCACTGCTTTTCATAATGTGTAAGTATGCACATACCACTTGGTTTCCTCTCCTCTAGGGAAGACAGCTTTGCACTCACTGTTGTCACTCCACAGCCACCTGTGCCTTTTTGCTGATGCTTCTTCTGTACCCACTGCTTTCCTCGTTTGGCCAAACGGTGGCCAGTGATGACGCATATTTTGTACATTATCAGGACGCTAGTCTCTTCTGTTCATCATATTACAGATGCTAAGAGTGTACACTGCACAGTGCATCCTCACAAGGCAGTATGTTTTAAAAAAAATCCTTAATTAATAATGAATCCTTTAATACAGAAAGGAGTTTCGTATTATCATTAAAGAAAACATTGGAATATTTTAAGCCTGATATGCTTATGTTTTTAACCCTATGTCAAATTAACCAATCACTGATTCAAAAGCCATAGCTAAATGTATGTGCATCTGTCCTAACACAGGATGAAGGATCTGTACACCATTATGCAGAAACAGCATGAACTGATCAAACTGATCATTCAGAAAATGGAGATTGTGTCAGAAGCAGAAGATGATGATAGTCAAGATTTATTTCAGCATAACAATACAAAGAAACAGAGGATGATGCCTGAGCGCAAAGAGAGCAAGTGGGATTGTGTGATGAAAGCTGTAAAGTGCAAAAAAGTCGATTAGGGCGTGATGCTGGCTCTGTGCATGATAGGGGTTCACCATGTTCGATCATGACGAGTAGAAGATCTAGTTGGATTCTCAGTCTACCATTCTATTTTGATGAGAATTAAACATGTTTGTAAGATGGAAATGGACCTCATGCATGAGAACCAGTTAAGCATATACTGTATGTGTTGCTTCCCGATATTTTTCAACCTCCATTACTGCAAATGGGAGCAACTTTCCCCACTCCAGTCTTAACATATTCTTGTAATATCTAGGGATGAGGTACAGGTTCACAAATACGTTTAACGAATAGATAACCCAGGTCCCTTTCTTTCTTTTTTTTCAGCATGTAGTTTTTATTAACATATGAAAGTAGAACAAACATAGTCTCGAGATAACACTCGACAGCAAGTATACAAAAATTGACTAGTTTCAAACAATATACAAGCAATACTGGTAATGTTAGGCACAGGTCTCTTTCTATAAAAGGAGTGGGGGGCTCACAGCAGTTAAATTGTCAGTGTGAGAGTTGTAAGGGAGAGATGACAGTTCTGTGTAGGGAGAAATACAGTAATATACTGTTCTAAGTAGTGATTTTTTTTTAGCGTTGGTACAGGTTTTCCATGGCAGTACTGGCTTACCATGCCTGTTTGAAAATAGCTGGCATATTAGCCCTACAAATAGCCAAACCTTACTAACAAGGTTTGCCCCCCCCTCTCCCCCATCCCCATAGGATTAACACAACTGTTCATCAACTGAACCCAGAAAGATTTGCCTATCCCTAGTTACATCAATACTACTATACTGTATATTGCTATGGATATTTAACAAAAAAATCTCAGTTCAAGTCCAAGCAAAGTAGGATGGAATGGTCGTTTTTTTCTGTTTAATATGCATTTTACATCAAACTATAACTGCCAAACCTTGTGTAGAAGTTATTACCGTCAAATAATATAATGGTACATAATGTGATGACTTTGGTGCAGTGTCTTGAACCTGGAATAGGACAATGGAATTATGAGAATTTAGAAAAACACTAGTGTAGAAAAGTGTGTGATGTTACCAAAGTAATGGTTAGAGTCTGACTGGCCAGCAGCCAGTGGGGAACTTTATCATTTTCAGACACTGATATACAGTGATATATATTATAAAAAGTGTTAAAGTATATTGCAATGCTTTCTCAACCAATTTGATTGTACATATTGTGGACATTTACAGGGTTATTCACAAAAGGGTGACGAGTTTGGAGAAGGCAGGACAAGTGAACAAGCTAGGAGAACATAGCTGAGCTAGAAAATGAGCTAAATGGGAGAATGTTTCCATATCAGCTATTTTGGCCTGGATTGCTCACTTCTCCTGCCTTCTCCAAACTCTTCACCCTTTTGTGAATAACCCTGTTAGTTTCAAATATAGAGTTTTTAAGGACTCTACTCCAAAACATGCACTTAAGGGCTCCTGATCACTTTCTTTGTCAATAAAAGTTAGTTACACAAGGGTTTCCTTGCAGGGGTTCTTAGCATATCAAAGAATAGTATAAATTCAGCCTCCTAAATCGAGTTGCACAGCTTGGGCTGTACAGGCTCTCTGCCTATTCAAGCACTGTCATCCTCTGAGCAAGACAGTAACCAACTCACTTTCCATTGGACGTCAATCCAGTCAAAGCGCTTGTCTGTGAGGCCAGACAGGCCAGAACACAATTTCTCCTTGTGTGTCTCTACACACATACTGTCAGGATCCAGAGCGCCTCCAGGTGGCGCTGGAGCTAACCCTGCAGTTCCAGTGCTCACCTGCGGGTGTCTCCCAGCACTTAGCCATCACCTGGTGCTTCCTGGGAGGGTATTTACACCCTCCCTGCAGTCAGGACAATGGCTCAGTATTGTTAATGTTTGTCCAGAACCTGTTTGAACCTTGTTTGTCCTGAACCCAGAACCCTGTTGGAACCTTGTTTCCTATTTGTTTTGGTCGGGTCTTTTCTGCCCGTGCGTGCCCGCTAGGGGGCGCGCGCGAGCAGAAAAAAATTGCCGTCTGGAGACGGCAACCCGCAGATGCAGCAGTGCCGTCCGTCCGTTTTTCTACTACGGGCGGACGGCAAGAGGTTAAACCTTGTTACCTGTGAGTCCTGAATACGGTTTTTAACCTTGTTACCTGTGAGTCATGAATCCTGTTTTGAACCTTGTTACCTGTGAGTCCTGAATCCTGTTTTTGAACCTTGTTACCTGTGAGTCCTGAATCCTGTTTTGAACCTTGTTACCTGTGAGTCCTGAATCTTGTTTTGAACCTTGTTACCTGTGAGTCCTGAATCCTGTTTTGAACCTTGTTACCTGTGAGTCCTGAACCCTGTTGGAAGTCCTGTTTCATGTGTCTTTTGTTTGCTGTCCTGATCCTTGTTGTTGCTATTAGTCTAAGGTGTATATTAAACAACCTATACATATCTAACATCCTTGCCTGGTCCATGTAACATACTTGCCTGGTCCTTGTGGTCACACGTGTTTGTTCTACCTGTGTGGGTACCTGCACAGGTGTGGAGTCACCTGTGCCGGTAGCCTTGACACATACTGCTCCCTGCAGCACAGAAGTCTACTGAACAGGAAAGAGCATTGGCTGGGGAGACTGATTGCCTTTTTGTGGCCAACACCTACCTGACAATAATTATCATACCTACTAATGGCCATGAATGGCAATAAGCAGCCTGTCTACTTTCATCAGAGCCTGTAAGTTGTCCACTATGAACTGTTTAAATCATGTCTCTCCAGATTTGTATTAACAATATTTCCTCCAATGTAGTGATTTGAATCAGAAAGCATTAAAGACAAGACACAGGGTGTCATTTCTCGACTGATGGCATTTGCTCGGCTGTTTTTCTGAAGCCCAGCTGTAAAACTTTAAGTCATAGGCCCAAAGCAAGCACACAGACCAGAAAAATCATTATAAAGTCACATATCCTGATATGTATGTTTGTTTTCAGTCTGAAACCCCAGAAGAAAAAGACTAAAAACACTGATGCCAGAGAATCAACATGACAGTCAGGCAGACAACGTCACAGAAAGAGAAGCAGCCATGTCAGCCTTCATGTTTGTCTTCTAACAGATTTCCTTTAAAACTCAATGGGTCAGTGTAACAGCCAGGCAAACCGCATTTTAGGAAAGAGGTCAGCATTTGGAGCCCCTGTATTTCTCTCATGATAAGTTTACTTTAATAAATATGTAATCATCCATGAATGACTGACCTATAATAACATGAAAGAACAAATAGCAGAAACAAATGAAACTAAAGGAAATATTTTTTTTTCTTACTCACTTGGATCTGAACTTGAATATTTTCTCCAATTCACTTAACAATATCCATGTTTCATCAGTACCCAGTTATCATTAAAAGGTCACTATAGGAGGGAAGTAATGATATGCTGTAGGGAGTAGCTGCCCATAAACGGTACAGTTGTCTGAAATGTCTAAGGAAGAAAGAAAGTTACAGGTAATATAACTAGGAAGAGGCTGGCTCTAGCAGAGTACAACCCTCTACATAGGCATGTTAGATTCCAATATATTTGCTTTAGTTCTCCTTTATTTATGGATTTGTCTCTGAAATATCCAACTGTTACTTTCCGCAACTTAACTAGGTCACAGGTATTTATAATTAAACACCACCCTTAATTTTTGCAAACAAATACGCGACAATCAGTCACATTTGTATCTATTTTATAATCTCTTCCTTCCCTTAGAAACACATTTCTTGTTAGCTGAGATTAGCAAAGATCACAAAGGTTGATGCTTAATAGAATTTTTACAGTGTGACTCTTACATGCCCTTATCCACTATTGGCTACTCATATTTGGTAATGCAATCATCATGCCCCACCATTCATATGCTGCAAAACATAAACTCAGCTAACATGCATCATATGACCTAAATTGTATTTTGTGTTGTGTATAAGTAGATTGCAATATTCTGCAATGTATAACGTTTACTTTGTGTTTTTAATTTTTGCACTGTGACTATAATGAATGACTTGCATTAATTGTTTCTATATCTAAGGCATTAGAATTAGGCAGCTGACATAATTTATTGTTTATAACAATTTTTTGTGAAAAAATATAAATGAAAATAAAAAGTATGTTTTGGCATGTGTTGTTTTGTTTTCTGTGTACATCTATTGGCATTACTTTTATTTATTACATGTATTTTCTGCAGTGGTTCTTCTGTTTGTCAAGTCACTGACTCTGTCTAGTCTTGTTAATAGGGCAACAGCAGTCGAATTTATGTCTGCAAACTAGGTCTAAACCCAAACATTAACAGTTCACATTAGCTGTAACCAGGGTCCCCATAATGAGACAGTTGTCATCTCATTGGGGGGGCAGCAGGGGTGGCGGGGGAGGGGGGGAAGGTGGCAGCATGGGCAAAAAAGGTAGGGACAGCCCTGGCTGTAACACCCTACTGTAGTTTGTAAGTTTTGTGTTTGGGAACTGGGATAGACTCCTAGCGTCATTCAGCCCAGAAGACTTAGAGCTTAGTGTGAGTGCAGGGTCACTATCTGCATCCTTGAGAACCTCCCACATATGGAAAAAGTTCCAAAGAGGATCCTCCGTATCATGTGAGGTTCCTAAAGACACCTGAAAAAGTGTAAGTTTGAAAAAATAAACGCATGCTCGCGGGTGTGTAGGGAATGTTCACTGTGTGTGTGTGTGTGTAGATTATTGGCTGAGTGAGTGGGGATCTTGGAACCCAGAGTTGGTCTTTAAATCAACATTTAGTACCAAAACAGGAGTGTTGAATACAAATCTTCATGCAAGTGGTGGCTAACAAAGCAAAAGAAATAAGCAAAATTAAGAACTTTTAGTAGGTTTCAGCAGACAAATTAAAAACAAAATGACAATTGTTAATAATTGTCCACTATAAGCTTTGATTCAAAAGTACACATACCCGGGCCACTTTAAATTCAGATATATATGGCTATATGAGTATACCCACAAACCACTACTTAATTACTGTGCCACAAGCACAAGAGTCTCACAAACAGACATGAACCTTAGGCCAATTATTAAGTAGTGAAGCTGGAAGAGTAGGATGGCAGCCCAGCACCCAGTTTACAATTTAC